ACGGTTGGAACAATTGAGAAGGTGGTGGAGGCCAAAACCGTCAGTACTGTAATTTCAAAGCATTATATGACAGAGTGCTGGGAAGACGGGACACCACCAGCGTAGCTCTCATCCTGTAACTACACTTAGGTAATTACACACACACACACACAGGGTACACATGTACATGTACATATGTACACACACACACATACACCTGAAAAGGAAATTACATGCCGTCGACCAGTGGGCAGAGAGCACCACACCGACCAGGCGAAGAAGGCACAAGAATGCATCAAAAGGCCCACCTCGACGACAAAACCCCAAAGTCCCAGCACGACCACAACACGTGTCAAGACCCAAAAAGATCAGTCTGCAAGCCAGGAAGACCCCAGATCCCCAGAAGGCAGAACTTGGTCACACACGAGGAAACAAAGCCCCCTGAACCCACAAAGGGGGCCCCAAGAGGAAGGAACTGCTGGAACGAAACCAAAGAACCCAAAGGAACCCGGAATCGAACCAGGGGGAGCCCAAACCACATTTGCCGGCAGAGATACACCAAAGAAAGGCAAAGCACAGCCCCCAGACAGAACCCCCAGGGAAACGGTCAAAACAGACCGAAAACCGAGGGACAAGGTGTGGGAGCAAGCATAAGAGAGAGGGACACTGAGCCCAAACCCTAGGGCCCAGACCCAAAACAGACAAAACGGAAAACCCGCTGTAAAATGAACACTCAAACATTCCCAGAGGAACATAAAATGGGCAGAAAATACCAGAAAAGCAAAGAAATGACAATAGGAGAATATAACCCCTGAAAAAGGTGAAAAACTCACCCAAGACGCTCGCTTGCACACCCAGGCGCATGTAAACAAACCGCAATGCCGCCCTGGTGGCCACACCGGGAAACTGGCAGAAGAAAATGGCCACCATAAAAGGGGGCTGTGACCGACGCAAAAGATACAGAAATACGCCGGCAAAAGTGGGAAGCAAGCAGACTGGATGGGTGAAAAACTCTGCCCAGAAGCAGAAATCCAGGCAGGGTCAAACAGCTCCAGAACTGCTAGCAGGCATTCCCCCACAGCCCCGGGAACCCGCAACAGAGGCCCCGGAGCAGAGCCGTCCTCCAAGCCCTCCGCCCTTAAAAAAAGGAAGAGTCCGTGGGAAAGGCTGCAAGAAAGGGTCGCTGGTAAGACCCAGAAGCCTTGGCAGGAGGAACAGGCTCGAAAACCTCTGTCTCCAACCTGAGCGGGGCAGCCCCACGATACCGCCCGAGTCTTGACTCCAACTAAACAGCGCCCCGACCCTGAAACCTGCAAACGGTCTGGAGCCGGGAACAGGGAGGGAAAGGGGCGAACAGCATCTAACCAAAACGGGGCGGCCCCGGGGGGCCCCCGGGTTTTTTTCCAGTTTACAAACTTTTCCAGTTTGTGATGTGCATATTTTTTTTTTTTGCAGTAATATTATTCAATAGTGTGAATTGTCATATATTTATATAATAAGATGTATGAACCATTGCTGTACTCAAAATTATGGTGTGCATATTAGTGATTCAATTATTATGTTCATAAAACAATAAACAAATAGTTTTGCTGTGATTACACCATATACACAGGTTAAATATAAGTATCTGCATGTTTTGCTCACCATAACGAACCACTAAGTTGGTATTGTGAGTCAAAATGCAACGAGGAGTGACCGCCACACACACCAGCCAGCCACTCGCTGCCACTCCCTCAACAACACCTCACTCGCCCTCATTCTCCTCCCACAATACTGTTTTTGCATATATTCACTATACACAGACATTATATATAAGTATTTACATGTTTTGTTCACAATAACTGTACATCTAAGCGTGTATGATGAGTAAAGGCACAATGACGTAGCTACTCACTCAGTCAGCTGGTGGTGGCCGCCCTCAAGGTGAGACGCACTAATATTTCTACTCCAACAATATTGTTTGTGGTGTTATTACACTATATACACACATTATATATAAGTATCTACTTGTTTTATTCACCATACCTGTACAAATAAGCTGGTATGGTGCCCAAAGACCATAGTGGCCATCAGTAAACAACATGACAAGTCGTACAGACGACGCACCTCTCTCACCAAAATGGCGGCTCCCAACCTACTCCTATTACTGTTATTATACTCTATACACACGTTATATATAAGTACAGTGGCACCTCGACATACGATTGCCCTACTTATGATAGTTTCGAGTTACGATGTAAATTTCATCGAAAAATGACTCAACATCCGATGGTGTCGTCGACTTCCGATATTTGTTGGTACACGTTCGGGTCGGCCGAGCCCGTGGTTCCCAGTCACACGGTCGACCTGCCTCAGTTTACTACAGCTGCCCGCTTAGTGATGATCGCGCCTATTAGAATTTCCGCTTTTGTGGTGATTTTTTGCATTTTGAACATTAAAGTAATTATTATATATTACGCCATGAGTCCCAGGAAAGTCAGTGGTAAGGCTCAACATATGAAAACCCATGTAAGGATGACCATAGAGCAGAAACAAGAGTACAGAATGTCTCTTCCTCAACAATTAAGAAAATGTGTGCAGCATGGGAAGAATTGCAAACCTTTGCTGAAACGACTCACCCAAATCAAGCTGCAGTAGGTTTTTTTTTTTTTTTTTTGAGATATATACAAGAGTTGTTACATTCTTGTACAGCCACTAGTACGCGTAGCGTTTCGGGCAGGTCCCTGGAATACGATCCCCTGCCGCGGAAGAATCGTTTTTTCATCCAAGTACACATTTTACTGTTGCGTTAAACAGAGGCTACAGTTAAGGAATTGCGCCCAGTAAATCCTCCCCGGCCAGGATACGAACCCATGACATAGCGCTCGCGGAACGCCAGGCGAGTGTCTTACCACTACACCACGGAGACTGTCATTGCCTTAACCTATTCAATGACACTGTGATGCATCATTACAGACACATGTTAAAACGAAGGGAAAAACAAATGTCTCTTGACAGATTTGTAATGAGACTAACAAGCACTGAACCACAACCAGGTCCTAGTGGTATTCAGGCAAAACGTAGGAGAGAGAGTACCCCAGAGAAAACATCACTGCCTGATGTGATAATGGAAGGGAACTCCCCTTCCAAGCAGTAACAACTCTCCTCCTCCCCCCTCATCACCATCTTCCATATGCCATCAAGAGCCCTCCATAAAGGTAAGAGAAACTTTGGTACTGTATTGTAGTTAGAAAAAAAACATTGTATTCAGTATAAAATGTATTTGTATGTTAATATTTTGGAGGGTGGGGAACGGATTAATTCAAATCCCTATATTTCTTATGGGAAAAATCGCTTCGACTTACAATCCGTCTCTGGGAACGGATTAGGATCATAAGTCGAGGCCCCATTGTATCTACATTTGTGTTCACCATAGCGAACCACTAATCTGATATGGTGAGTGCAGTCAATAAAAGTTGGCCACAGAGAGTCAGAAGACGATGTCACCACCCTCCCTCCCACAGCATTACTATATACAGTGGTACCTCAGAGCACGAGTGTCCCTGTATGCGAGTTTTTCGGAATACGAGCAGGATTTCCTCGGAAAATGTGTCTCGGAAGGCGAGGGTTACCTTGGAACACGAGTTTTGTTGATACGTGTACAGGCCGACTAGCGCATCGTGGCACGGCGATCGCACCTCAGTTTACCAGTGTCTCGTGCCCAGTGACTATCCCACCTGAATTCTTCACAAGGATTTACAGTTTTTTGTCGGTTTTTTGGCCATTTGAGCATAAAAGTTGTCATTATATATCTCACCATGGGTCTCAAGAAAGCCAATGGTAAGGTTCAACCTAAGAAAATAGCTGTGAGTAGAGGCAGTAGAGGATGTCCCTTCTTGATTGAGAAAATGTGTGAAGTATGGGAAGAACTGCAAAGTTTTGTTGAAAAAAACTCACCCAGATAAAGCTGTAGCAGGCCGTTGCATTGACTTTTTAAATGACAATGTGATGTCTTAATACAGACAAGTGTTAAAATGTAGGGAAAAACAAAGTGTCTTTAGACAGATTCTTAGTAAAACAAGCAAGTCCTAGTGGTATGCAGGCAAAATGTTCCAGTGTGTGCACACCAGTGAAGTCCTTACTGCCTGATGTTATAATGGAAGGGGACTCCCCTTCCAAACAGTAACACCTCTCCTCCTCCCTCCTCCTCACATCTTTCATACACCAACAGCAGTCCTCAGCAAGGGTAAGTAATAACTTGAACATAGTTTTGTAGGTTTTTTTAGATGAATTAGGTATAAAAATTTAGTTTGATGTGGGTTTTTTGGGGTAGTCAGGAACGGATTAATTCATTTCCCATTATTTCTTATTGGGAAATTAGCTTTGGAATACGAGTTTTCCGAATACGAGCCGTCTCCAGGAACGAATTAAACTCGTAAACTGAGGTACCCCTGTGAAGTAAAGTAAATTTCATTCAGGAAAGTACATACATAGTTGATTTACAAACATAATGTTGGATGATTTATAGATAGAGCTAGTACATACAATACCTAAAGCCACTAGTACGCATAGCGTTTCTGGCTATTACTGAATTACATTGAATTACATTCAGTGCTAGTTTATTTTTAAATAAAGTGCACTTGAGAGGATGTGTATTGACTTGATACCAACATATTCAAAGATTTTAGTAAGGGAGATGAGTGTTGTCCAGGACTGGAGTTTGTTAGTGATGTAATTGCTGCTTTATGTTCGGTAATTAGGGGGTCAAAGGTAATTTTGGGTTGTAGATTATTATTATTATTATTTTACAAATTAATGATAATATGCTTGGTTTTAGCTTTAGTAGGTAAATATTGGTTTTATAGGTGAAAATTGTTATAACTATTTTAAGGGCATTTTTATGAGCTAAAATTAATAACAAATGCAAATGGTTTATTTAGTTTCAAAGCAAAATGAAAAACAATGCTATTATGTATGGTAGATCTAATTTGAATTGATTTATTATAATGAAATAATTATATTTGTAAATACTTTCCTTACAGAAACAAGCCACCCATACTGCCTTGTGCGGGTTTCAGGAAGTACAGAGACATTCAAAACTCGAGTCATTAATAGCACTCTTATGCCATCTTGGGAGTCACAGTTTTCCACGTAAGATGTTATATATATGTTTTTGTTTTTTAGTGTGGTTATACGTGTTCTAGTTCCGTTTCTGTGTATTTTCTAAATTGGTCTGTACTTTATTCTCCAAATTGGTTTACATAGCATTGTACTCAGACAATTTGAATGAATTACCAGCTAGCATTGTTAAGACTAAAAATTTTCTAAGTTTTAAAATTAGAATAGATACATGAATGAAAATGGTTGGATCTACACAGGACCATATTTTTTATTAACATGGTTAGGTATACACAGGAATGTGCTGCTACCCTATTCTATATGAAGGATTTCAAAATGTAGATTAAGAATTATCTGTGAGTTCATCTTGTATTCATATTTCACGGGATGGTTAGTCATACATGAAATCACGAGAGAACATTAAATGCATTCTGCCCTTTGAGTGTCGGTGACTGCTCTTCTGCCATCCACAATTTCTTGAAATATTGCAGTTTTTACAACAGAGATTGCAGTGCCTAGATCTAATTCAATTTCAGATTTACATGCAGCTTTAGCTGACTTGTCTGTGAGGGACAATACCTATGTGGGATGGTATCCATACTAACGAAACTAAAATTCCTGCTCTGTGTATTAATGATGTTAATAATATATGTTATAATACTCTTAGTATCTACACAGAGAGTAATCACACTAACGTGATGTGTCAATGAGAAAATCAGTAGGAGCCGTGATGAGGGTTCAAACCTATATCATAATATGCATCATTATGGAGTCAGAGGTAATACCTTAAGTCAGGGTAATACCTTAAGTCAGGGTAATACCTAATACCCTGCAATACCTTAAGTCTTACCTTACTGACAGGCTCCAGTACGATTCTGTGAATAATTCAATTTCTCCCACCCTACCCATCAACATTGGTGTTCCTCAAGGCAGCATACTTGGCCCTCTCCTCATTCTCATCTACATTAATGACCTTCAAATGCCTCCCAACACCTCAAACCAATTCTATTTGCTGAAGACACAACCTTCATTTACTCCAGTCCTGACTCCCTTGCTCTAAATGTCACAGTGAATACTGAGCTAAATAAAGTCCATCTCTGGCTAACTGCCAACAAACTCACCCTCAACATTGACAAAACGTAATATATTTTGTTTGGCAATAAATCCTCAAATCAAATATATCTCAGGATAAACAATACCCAAATTTGTAACAAAGTAGATGGCATATTCCTTGGCGTTCTCATTGACAACAAGCTGAATTTCCAGGGACACATTCTAAATACAGTGGTACCTCGAATAACGAATTTAACCCTTAACATGCTAGGGGTATAATATCCTTTTTTCCCCACAGGCACATGTAATTTTGAAAAAAAAAAAAAATATTTTTTCTTCCTAACCTGTTAATTTGTGTTCATTGATCACGGGAAAAATAATAAAAAAATCGTAAGTGGCATATATTGCCCGCTATAGGGCGGGGAAGTCTGGCAAAAAATAGGTGCTGACTCAGCGTGCGTCCCAGGCAGTCTGTTGCTCGCCAGCTGTCAGGCCGGAGTTGCCACAAAGAGATAATTACCTAATTATTTCAATGTCTCTGATTGATTTTTCATAGTTTTTTTTGCTGTAATATTTTTCAATAGTGTGTAGTATGATATATTTATATAATAAAATGAGTGAATCATTGCTGTACTCATAAATATGGTGTGCATATGGTTGATTCTATTATGTTCATCAATCAGTGAACAAATACTTTGTCGGTTATTACACTATATACACAGGTTATATATAAGTATCTGCATGTTTTGTTCACCATAACGAACCACTAAGTTGCTATTATGAGTAAAAAAGTAACGAGGAGTGACCGCCGTGTACCAGCCAGCCACTCACGCCCTCCCTCAAGTCATCTGACTCACCCACATTCTCCTCCCACAATACTGTTTTTGCTATAATTCACTATATACAGACGTTATATATAAGTACTGTAACCCCGCGATTATCCGGGATTCGAACATCCGAAAAACGCCCTTATACGGCCAAAATCGTGAACGGATAAAGTTATCTCAATATCCGGCCAAAATGGCCATGGGAGCCGGATAAAAGCCGGTTTGGCCGGTTAAAAATCTGAGCCGGTGGGCCGTACCGTATTAATCCCGCACAGCTGTGGCTCGAGGCCATGGTGTTGGAGGGGGTAGGGTAGGTGGGTGGTGTCGGGAGAGAGGGGAGCGTTGGGAGGGACCACCTGGGGGATTACGGTCAGGAAGAGAGGGAGGGAGTTGGTCAGGAAGGGAGGGAGGGAATTGGTCAGGAAGGGAGGGAGGGAATTGGTCAGGAAGGGAGGCAGGGAGTTGGTCAGGAAGGGAGGAAGGGAGTTGGTCACAGAAGGGAGGAAGGGAGTTGGTCACAGAAGGGAGTTGGTCAGGAAGGGAGGAAGGGAGTTGGTCACAGAAGGGAGTTGGTCAGGAAGGGAGGAAGGGAGTTGGTCACAGAAGGGAGTTGGTCAGGAAGGGAGTTGGTCAGGAAGGGAGGAAGGGAGTTGGTCACAGAAGGGAGTTGGTCAGGAAGGGAGTTGGTCACGGAAGGGAGTTGGTTAGGAAGGGAGGAAAGGAGTTGGTCAGGAAGGGAGGAAGGGAGTTGGTCAGGAAGGGAGTTGGTCAGGAAGGGAGGAATGGAGTTGGTCAGGAAGGGAGGAAGGGAGTTGGTCAGGAAGGGAGGAAGGGAGTTGGTCAGGAAGGGAGGAAGGGAGTTGGTCAGGAAGGGAGGAAGGGAGTTGGTCACGGAAGGAGGAAAAACTAATTGTGGTGTGTATGGGACTCGCTTAAGCCTAACGAAGGAAGGTGGCGTTGGCGGTGTTGCAAGAATTATATTGTTTTCTTATTGCTGTGGAGAGCTAGTTACGAATATTAATTAAATAGCACTATAATAGATGAACAATACAGTACAGTATTTGGTTTGCTATTTATTCATTTAAATATTTACAATAAAATAAAATGGGATTTAACAGAACTTAAGGCGCATATGTTAAAAGTCATCGTACAGCGTGTCAACACCCACGTGACTGTCGACACATGTGGAGGGGAGATGGGAAGGCTGGCGTGAGGTGGGGGAGGGGGGGGTTGACCAGGCAGATCACACGTGTCGTCTGTCTCTGTTCCAGTCTCGCCACTTACCCACCTATTCACCCACCTGTTCACCCACTTCCCTGCCCGCCCACCTGTTTACCCACTTCCCTGCCCTTCCATTTCCCTGCCCACCCACCTGTTTACCCACTTCCCTGCTCTTCCACTTCCCTGCCCACCCACACCTATTTACCCACCTGGCTGCACACCTATTTACCCACCTGTTCACCCACCCACCTATTTACCCACTTCCCTGCACACCCACCTGCCTGCACACCCACTTACCCACCTGCCTGCAAGCCCACTTACCCACCTGTCAATCCATCCACCCACCTGTTCACCCACCTACTTGCACACCCACCTGCCTGCTAAACCCACCCACCCACCTGTTCACCCACTTCCCTTCCCACCCACCTGTTTACCCACATGCCTGCATGCCCACTTACCCACCTGTCAATGCACCCACCCACCTATTCACCCACCTGCCTGCTCACCCATTTGCCTGCTCGAACCTGTTGACCCACCAAGCCCATCTACCTGCCATCCACTCATCCAAACCCCACCTGCCTGAATCAACCTATCCCTGCCTGCTCACCCACCCACCCACCTGCCTGCCCACCCACCCACCTGCTTGCCCACCCATTTTCCCTGCCCACCTACCAGCTAGGCACCTAACCACCCATGCACCAGCCCCACACACTAATTAGTGTGTCGATTCAAATCATGCGTGTGGTATAAAAATTGTCGGAAATGGTCCCTTTTGGACTCAGGTGAAAAAGTACTATTACCCGAAACATGTGATAATCTGGCTGAGGGGCCTTCCCATATAGTCCGGATAGTCGAGTGGAGACAGTATCTACATTCGTGTTCACCATAACAAACCACTAAGTTGGCATGCCGAGTGGCAGTGCCAGTGGTAGCCCGCCACTGGTTGCTACTTCCTCCCTCCCTCAAGTCACCTCACTCACCCACATTCTACTCCCACAATACTGTTTTTGCTTTTATTCACTATATACAAATGCTATATATAAGTATCTACATTCGTGTTCACCATAATGAGCCACTAAGTTGGTATGCTGAGTGGCAGTGGCAGTGGCAGCCTGACTTGCCACCATTCTCCACCCACCATACTGCTTTTGCTTTTATATACAGACGTTATATATAAGTATTTACATGTTTTGTTCACCATAACTGTACATCTAAGCTTGTATGGTGAGTAAAGGCACAAAGACGTAGGACCTCACACAGTCAGCTGATGGCTGCCGCCCTCAAGGCGAAACGCACTAATATTTCTCCTCCAACAGTACTGTGTGGTGTTATTACGCTATATACACACATTATATATAAATATCTACCTGTTTTATTCACCATACTTGTACAAGTAAACTGGTATGGTGCCCAAAGACCATCGTGGTAACTTGTAAACAACACCGTCGTCTGCACGGTGGCGTCATGCTGATGACACCACCGCCCTCACCAAAATGGTGGCTCCCAACCTTCTCTTGCTGTTTATACCCTCTATACACACGTTATATATAAGTATCTACATTTGTGTTCACCATAGCAAACCACTAAGCTGGTATGGTGAGTGCAGTCAATAAAAGGTGGCCACACACAGTCAGAAGACATCGCCACCACCCTCCCTCCCACAGCATTACTCCTCCCTCCATGGCGCACAGCGCTAAATATCATCACAATCCTGCTATTATCAGAACCCTGGTCAGTTTTATCAGTCAGGGGTCTTCTGTAATAATATCATCGCTACATAATTTTTTTTTTTTTTTTTTGAGATACTGTATATACAAGAGTTGTTACATTCTTGTACATGCATAATAGCATGAACAAGTATATTTTGGCATTTTTAGGCAATGCTGTGGTCACAAGCTGAACAGCAGTGCTGTTAGCTCATGCTGCGTGCGT